TCATAAGTGAAGGAGAAATAAAATCCTTTACAGACAAACAAATGCTAAGAGATTCTGTCACCACCAGGCCTGCCTTACAAGAGCTCCTGAAGGAAGCACTAAACATGGAAAGGAACAACCAGTACCAACTACTGCAAAAACATGCCAAATTGTAAAGACCATGGATGCTAGGAATAAACTGCATCAACTAATGAGCAAAATAACCAGTTAACATCATAATGACAGGATCAAATTCACACATAACAATATTAACCTTAAATGTAAATGGGCTAAATGCTCCAATTAAAAGACACAGACTGGCAAATTGGATAAAGAGTCAAGACCCATCAGTGTGCTGTATTCAGGAGACCCATCTTGCATACAGAGACACACATAGGCTCAAAATAAAGGGATAGAGGAAGATCTACCAAGCAAATGGAAAACAAAAAAAAGCAGGGGTTGCAATCCTAATCTCTGATAAAACAGACTTTAAACCAACAAAGATCAAAAGAGACAAAGAAGGCCATTACATAATGGTAAAGGGATCAATTCAAACAAGAAGAGTTAACTATCCTAAATATATATGCACCCAATACAGGAGCACCCAGATTCATAAAGCAAGTCCTTGGAGACCTACAAAGAGACTTAGACTCCCCCACAATAATAATGGGAGACTTTAACACCCCACTGTCAACATTAGACAGATCAACGAGACAGAAAGTTAACAAGGATATCCAGGAATTGAACTCAACTCTGCACCAAGCGGATCTAATACACATCTAGAGAACTCTCCATCCCAAATCAACAGAATATACATTCTTCTCAGCACCACATCACACTTATTCCAAAACTGACCACACAGTTGGAAGTAAAGCACTCCTCAGCAAATGTAAAGAACAAAAATTATAACAGACTGTCTCTCAGACCACAGTGCAATCAAACTAGAACTCAGGATTAAGACACTCACTAAAAACTGCTCAACTACATGGAAACTGAACAACCTGCTCCTGAATGACTACTGGGTACACAATGAAATGAAGGCAGAAATAAAGATGTTCTTTGAAACCAGTGAGAACAAAGACACAACATACCAGAATCTCTGGGACACATTTAAAGCAGTATGTAGAGGGAAATTTAGAGCACTAAATCCCCACGAGAGAAAGTAGGAAAGCCCTAAAATTGACACCCTAATATCACAATTAAAAGAACTAGAGAAGCAAGAGCAAACACTTCAAAAGCTAGCAGAAGGCAAGAAATAACTAAGATCAGAACAGAACTGAAGGAGATAGAGACACACAAAAAAACCCTTCAAAAAATCAATGAATCCAGGAGCTGCTTTTTTTGAGAAGATCAACAAAATTGATAGACCGCTAGCAACACCAATAAAGAAGACAGAAGAATCAAATCGATGCAATAAAAAATGATAAAGGGGATCACCACCGATCTCACAGAAATACAAACTACCATCAGAGAATACTATAAACACCTCTATGCAAATAAACTAGAAAATCTAGAAGAAATGGATAAATTCCTGGACACATACACCCTCCCAAGACTAAACCAGGAAGAAGTTGAATCCCTGAATAGACCAATAACAGGTTCTGAAATTAAGGCAATAATTAATAGCCTACCATCTAAAAAAAGTTCAGGACCAGATGGATTCACAGCCAAATTCTACCAGAGGTACAAAGAGGAGCTGGTACCATTCTTTCTGAAACTATTCCAATCAATAGAAAAAGAGGGAATCCTCCCTAACTCATTTTATGAGGCTAATATCATCCTGATACCAAAGCCTGGCAGAGACACAACAAAAAAAGAGAACTTTAGACCTATCTCTCTGATGAACATTGATGCAAACATCCTCAGTGAAATACTGGCAAACTGAATCCAGCAGCACATCAAAAAGCTTATCCACCACGATCAAGTTGGCTTCATCCCTGGGATGCAAGGCTGGTTCAACATATGCAAATCAATTAACGTAATCCATCACATAAACAGAACCAAAGACAAAAACCACATGATTATCTCAGTAGATGCAGAAAAGGCCTTTGACAAAATTCAACAGTGATTCATGCTAAAAACTCTCAATAAACTAGGTATTGATGGAACGTTTCTCAAAATAATAAGAGCTACTTATGACAAACCCACAGCCAATATCATACTGAATGGGCAAAAACTGGAAGCATTCCCTTTGAACACTGGCACAAGACAGGGATGCCTTCTCTCACCACTCCTATTCAACATAGTGTTGGAAGTTCTGGCCAGGGCAATCAGGCAAGAGTAAGAAATAAAGGGTATTCAATCAGGAAAAGAGGAAGTCAAATAGTCCTGTTTGCAGATGACATGATTGTATATTTAGAAAACCCCATCGTCTCAGCCCAAAATCTCCTTAAGCTGATAAGCAACGTCAGTGAAGTCTCAGGATACAAAATCAATGTGCAAAAATCACAAGCATTCCTATATACCAATAACAGACAAACGGAGAGCCAAATCATGAGTGAACTCCCATTCACAATTGCTTCAAAGAGAATAAAATACCTAGGAATCCAACTAACAAGGGATGTGAAGGACCTCTTCAAGGAGAACTACAAATCACTGCTCAACGAAATAAAAGAGGACATAAACAAATGGAAGAACATTCCATGCTCATGGATAGGAAGAATCAATATCGTGAAAATGGCCATATTGCCCAAGGTAATTTATAGATTCAATGCCATCCCCATCAAGCTACCAATGACTTTTTTCACAGAATTGGGAAAAACTACTTTAAAGTTCATATGAAACCAAAAAAGAACCTGCACTGCCAAGGCAATCCTAAGCAAAAGAACAAAGCTGGAGGCATCACACTACCTGACTTCAAACTATACTACAAGGCTACAGTATCCAAAACAGCATGGTACTGGTAACAAAACAGAGATATAGACCAATGGAACAGAATAGAGCCCTTGGAAATAGTACTGCACATCTACAACCATCTGATCTTTGACAAACCTGACAAAAAGAAGCAATGGGGAAAGGATTCCCTATTTAATAAATGGTGCTGGGAAAACTGGTTAGCCATGTGTAGAAAGCTGAAACTGGATCCCTTCCTTATACCTTATACAAAAATTAATTCAAGATGGATTAAAGACTTAAATGTTAGACCTAAAACCATAAAATCCCTAGAAGAAAACCTAGGTAATACCATTCAGGACATAGGCATGGGCAAGGACTTCATGACTAGAACACCAAAAGCAACGGCAACAAAAGCCAAAATTGACAAATAAAGCCAAAATTGACAAATGGATCTAATTCAATCAGTGAGCTTCTGCACAGCAAAAGAAACTAATACCAGAGTGAATAGGCAATCACAGAATGGGAGAAAATGTTATAATCTGCTCATCTGACAAAGTGGGCTGTATCCAGAATCTACAAAGAACTTAAAACAAATTTATAAGAAAAACCAAAACCCTACATCAAAAAGTGGGAAATGATATGAACAGACACTTCAAAACAAGACATTTATGCAGCAACAGATACAAGGAAAATGCTCATCATCACTGGTCAGAGGAATGTAAATCAAAACTACAATGAGATACCATCTCATACCAAAGCAGAATGGTGACTATTAAAAAGTCAGAAACAACAGGAAGTGAGAGATGAGAAACAGGGAACACTTTATATATTGTTAGGATTGTAAACTAGGCTCAACCATTGTAGTACAGTGTGGCGATTCCTCGCTGATCTAGGAACTAGAAATACCACTGGACCAGCCATCCCATTATAGCATATCTGATTATAAATCATGCTGCTATAACACACATGCACACATATGTTTATGGCAGCACTATCCACAATAGCAAAGACTTGGAACCAACCCAAATGTCCAATAATGATAGACTGGATTAAGAAAATGTGGCACATATGCACCATGGAATACTATGCAGCCATAAAAGGATGACGCTCATGTCCTTTGTAGATATGGATGAAGTTGGAAACCATTCTATAAAACTATCGCAAGACAGAAACCAAACACCGCATGTTCTCACTCATAGGTGGGAATTGAACAATGAGAACACTTGGACACAGGGTGGGAACATCAGCACTGGGGCCTGTTGTGGGGTGGCAGGAGGGGGCGTGATAGCATTAGAATATATACCCAATGTAAATGACGACTAATGGGCGCAGGACACCAGCATGGCACACGTATACATATAATAAACCTGCACATGTGCACATGTACTATAGAACTTAAAGCACAGAAATAATAAAATAAATAAATAAATAAATTTGTGCTATTTTTCTTGGTTTCATAATAATGAGAAGAAATAAAAGAGACTCCCTTCCTTCTGAAGCCTGAAGCAAGAGGCAAGTGACTGGCTGGTGTCTAGACCACTGTCACTACCCTGCAAAGCATTAGATCCCATTTACCACAGCTAATTTCCATTCCACAGCAAATGTTTCTGTCTACAAGGGCAGAATCAACTTTCACTTGGGAACTAGGATTAGAATGTGAAAAAGATGCTGGCTCTCAAAGAACAATATTTATTCAACTGAACTAGAAATCAAGTAATAATTGCAAAGTAAGAGGTTTTTACAGAGCCATCTCTTCTGAGAAAGCCTTTCCTAACTGAAGAAACTTTTTGGTTGTTGCCACTGCCTTGCAAAACACTTTCAGGTTAATTTTAGTCTCCGATTTACTTCCATACTTTGTCATCATGCCTGATTCCTCAAGACAAAATACCAACTTCACTGACTTTGATCTTGTTCATAAAACTTCCCAAATGAGAAAGCAGCTTTTGTTTCTTCAAGCCGTGTGTCCTTTCACTGAGGTAGAATGCAATGGCCACGTTAAGCAGCCACTGCCTGTGAGAGCCCAAAGTCAGCCAGAGAAGAGGCCTGGAGGCATGGAACGCTTGAGTCCTTAGTAAAAAGCACAACTGAGCATTCTAAGTCAGTAGGGCTGCTTCCAAAGATAGTCACAGATAACGGGAAGCTGAGGGTCTATGAAGACTTTCTCCACTCTGTAAGCAGCACTCTGCCTCTTACTCGGGTAATTGGAAGGGGCAGAGGGGTAATCATCTGAGATGGTGCTGAGTGAGTGGAACTCAGGCTGAGAAGAAGGGCTTGCCTGGGACGAGGACAGAACAGAGACGTTGGTGACCGAGCCCTGGTACCTGGGGTTGGGATACGCAAGCTGCAAAGGGAGAAAAATCAGCAGGATAGAGGTCTGAATGTCAGACTTTAGGGCTGGCACACAGAGTTGGCTTTTTTCATGCTCCCGGGAGGCAGGTTTCTGCCCCAGTGCTCTTATGTGCTATGTTCTGAGCCCTGATGGAGGCCAGGCTAATGGTTGGGCACTAGGGGCCACCCATACCAACGTATATGGAACAAAGTTGCTGGGCTGGCCATACTACAGTGACCACGGAGGAAGCAGGACTGAGCCAACAGGACCAGGCAAGGGGGCACTCTGGCAGAGGATCTTTCCATGGATCTCTAGCAACTAGCTGAAGCTGGATTTTCTTCTCGGGGAAGAAGGCCTGGGAACTGATACTTAGGATGGTGTGTGGAGGAAAGGTGGCTTTCTAGCTCTGATGAGGGGTGTTCTGAATTCAGAGCTAGAGAATTAGGCAGGGTTGCCAGCCCTCAGATCAGACATTGCAACAGCAAGGTGAGTCCTGTAGGCATGGTGCCCTGGCCCACTCTCCCTGGACAGCTCTGTACCTGCATGTGGTGGTACAGGTCCTCGGAGCATCGCTTCATGGAGCTGCCGTCCAGCATCACTGCTGTTTCTAAGCCTACCAGACGATGTGAGGAGAGAGAGATGATGAATGGCGCTCAGCCATCAAGTTCATGGGCTGGTGGGAGCAAGAGTGGGAAATAGGGAGGAGTCAGGCCGATGGCAGGTGGTGTGGACAATAGAGCAGAATGTGTGGAAACAGTCATCCTTGGTTTCAGCTACCACCGGTTTGAGGGTTCCAGCAGCCAAATGCTCATACCCCATCTGAGACCTGGAGCAGTCCTGAGCCACCCTGCTACTCAGGAGCTCTTGGTCTGGGAGAGACAATGGTGTGTACACTGACAAGCCTCATCACAGCTACATGGCTTATGGCCACTCAGTTTAATCTATTACTTAGCAATTTCTCAGGAGGAAAATAAAGAGATATGCCAAATCAGGTCAAAGATCTCAGGTCCCCCTTTCTATGGGGTATTATCTGGCTCAGTGCTCACCCCTCCACTCCCACACCATGATGGGATCTGCTCCTTGGCCGAGGCTCTTTCCAGTGTGGGAATCCTACCAAATAGCTGGCTGTGAACTATCTGCAGTCCTCTTCTACACATCTGTGGCCAAAAAGGTCACAATAGCTCTAGCAATACCAGGAAAACTCTCATTCATTTGTTCCTATGCCCATTCTGTGCTGAGTTGCCACTACACTGGAAAACAAGTCATGAGGGGCTCACTGGTCTCCTCCTCCAACCTGGCCTTCCTGAATGCAGAGACTTTCAGTATTCTCAGTTGAGCCCAGGCAACCAGTCTTTGATGTCTGTCAGCTAATGTTATGCTGTTTCTTCCTTAAAACTGACTTGGTGATCTCATTCTCCTTGGGATCAAGTCCAAAGGCCTGCAAGAATGCGTCCATTCAGAGTTGGTCCTATCCTTCCATGCCCTGAATCCTGCACTCCAGCCACTTGACTTACTCAGAGGCTGACTAGGCTGGCTTGTTCATATCTTGAGGCTTCTGTATGTGTTGGCCAACTTGCCAGATCTTGCCCTATCACCTCCTAACCCCTAGTAAACATCTATTTATCCAAGACTTCCTCAAATGCCTCTCCTCCATGCGCCACAATATCAGTATGGTATACACTTCCCTTAACCAGGAGGTGACTGACTGAACGCAGGGTGTGGGTCCCATGGCAGGAGCCACATAAGTGTTTGCTGTGTGCATGGGTAAGAGGGAATATGAGTATACACATGACTTTGTCCCACCCTGACAATTTAGACTCACCTCTCCAGAGTGGAACCCTCCCCAGCCCTAAGGCTACCTGTGCCGATGGGTCATCTTGATGCTCTCCGGACTCATGGGGCTATGGGATGCCAGAACATTTCCTGCGGTGCTGGTGCCTGAACATGCAGGACTTAGCTTATCCAAACCTGGAAACTCCTGTTGAGAAATGAATGCCCCTTCATAGAGAGTAAAGAATAAATAAGTAACTAAGGGATATGAGGGAAGAACTGACTGGTGGTCAAAAATCTAAAAGAAACAAAAAGAGCCATGTTGGGTTGAACCTGAACTGCTTCCTTTGGGCAATGCCCTTCGATGAATTAAAACACCCTCCTAACTGCATGGGAACCTAGACTAAAGGCCGGTGTGAGGGCCCTAGGTTGATCTACACTAAGAGAAGCACATCTGGAATGAACTAGCTGGTCTGAGCTCATAGGAGTGTGTTAATAAGTTTTCTCGCTATGGAATAAGTAGAACAAGATTTGGGAAAAAGGAGAGGAAGAGCTTATTATTAGTTGTCAATCAGTGGGCACCAATTACATAAGGATTGGTGTCAAGTTTTATTAGATTTGAGTAAATGGCCCAGCTCTTAGTGACCTGCCATCTGTGAGCACAGTCTACGGGAGACAGAAATACAAAACTTGATGTATGTAACTGAAAAAATAGCACAGATCTATTTTAGCGAATTAATTCATATTAAGTATACAGATTTCTGGGCACACACTTCTGATCTCAAACCCTACTAGGTGACAGCATGTTTGTTTGCGTCCCTGTGTGCAACTCAGAAGAAATAACTGTTCAGGTTTCTAAGTCCTTTCAAAATCTGTAGTGAACAGGGGCTCCAAGTCCACTGGGGATACTTCTGAGCTTGTGTGAAGAAGCACCGGGTTTGCACCCACTCTTCCAAAGTATACAGAGGGCTGGGAAATGTATTTCTGTAGCTGGATAAAGGATATGTGTGCACATGGAAGAATGTGATGTATATAGGAAAGTGCTTTCAGTTTTTGCTGCAACCCACATGGCAGAGAACTCCTCCCCACTGCCAGGCTCCAGCCTGCCTGTCACCTGCTGTGATAGGGGAAGTATGCAGGAGACTTGAATGAGAAGCAGTGGAATGAATACCACCAGGCTCAGCAATACTGCCCAAGTTCCTAACTAAATGACACTCCAATTTTAAGGCAGAGATGTAAAAGAGCTTCTCTGCATATTTCACCTTGAAATACCACGGGAGAATCCTAACAGATGGGAGAAATCCAGGATCTCCAGGCTTTCCTCTGAAAATGTGCCCCTACCCCTCAAACTACAACAAGCTTCTTTTTCTTTTCATATCCACACTTGTCCACACAGGCTGGAGACCTGCACTGGGAGCCTGGAGGGACGGAGATGACCAGAACCTGCAGCATCCACGAACAAAGCAGGTCCGCCCCAAATGGGTCAGGCCCACTGTGTTTAAGAGTTCAGCCTCCTCAGGGCTCCTGTGGCTAAGTGGGTATCCCTAGAGGGGGATGTTTTGCCCGCATGTACCTCTGCAGCTCAAACAGCTCTACTTTGTCGATTTGCCACTACCCAGTGGTCCTGGGTGATGAGAAGAGAACTTGGCTTGGGTGCCAGGTAGCAGCAGGTAATTGGGCCTTATACTCTTAAGATCTGGGAGACAGCCTGTTTAGCAGAAGGATCTCTTAGAAAACATTTTGAGTCGGCTCCACAGTTGAAAATGAGGTTTGGGTATGTGACTAGGGGCTCTATCTCAGCCAGTCAGCACTTCCTAAGACTCCCAAGCAAGGAATACTGGTCCTGGAATATAAGTCCTGTTTGTGTGTTTAAGTCCTTGGGCCAAATGCTACTGTGGAGGCTGAAGAGCTGGGCCAGAGTTAGGGAGACTTTCAGGAGCCTGGTCCAGCCCCAGACCTGGCTGACTCCTTTAAGAACCGGGGCTTAGCATCAAAGTACTGCTCATCCTAGACTATCTCAGATGTGAGTTTGGATCACCAGACATGATACAGGAAGCTGGGAAGAAGAGGGAGGGAGGGAAAGAGGGAGAAAAGGGAGTTGGGGGAAGAGTAAAAAGAGGAAAAAGAGAATCAATAGAGGGAGAAGAATGAAGAAGGGCAGAGAAAGAGAAGAGGAGGAGGAGGGAGATGGGGAGAGAAGGCTGGCTCAGGCCATGCCTCATTTTTTAGGTTCTTGAGATGAAAACATCTCCAAAAAGATCCCCTACACAAATACACTGGCCTCTTTTCTCCACATATGAAAACCTGTGCTCTGAAACAGCGTTCTCTGCCTTGAATCTGGCCTCCTTTGGGAGTGAGGAGTGGGAGTGAGAGATCCTTAGCATCCTTCCCCTGGATATAGCATCCATCCTGCCCCTGTCCCTCTGTGGGGAGGACAGCCTCTCTCCCTGACCCGGCCCCCCACCTGTGCCTCCTCCCATTTTCCTTTGGCTTGTGCATAGGTCTGGAGAAAGTGACACCTGGTCTCTACTCAAAGGCAGGGCAGGACAGGGATTAACTTACATGGCAGAGACTGGCCCGCATCATCTGGAACTGACTAATCTAGCTTCTATGCAGAGGTCGCATTTCTGGGTGCACACAAACTTCTCAAGCGAACTGCTAGCCCAACTCCAAGGTCACGAACCTATCAGAGTCACAAACAAGGCCACTCAGGAACCATGAGCAGCCCTGAGAACTGAAGCCATCTTGTAGTGCATGGCTTTTTCTCACCTGGCTGTTGGTCCCCAAGTCAAGACATATACCTGTTTCCTGCATAAGCCTGAGCTGGGTGATCTTCAGCATCTCCTGGGTGCTTGTTGATGTATCTTTATCAAAGAAGGCCTGTGAAAGGAAAGGCCAAGTCAGGAAGACTCTTCCCAGGACTACTACTTATATGGGGCCCAGGAGATTTGAGTTCACTAATGCCACTAAACGAGCCACAGGCTGACCCCCCCTCATAGGTACATACACCAGTTCATTTGTCGGAACTTCTGGCAACTAGAGGTGTGTGTGTTTTATTTTATTTTATTATATATTTTTTGAGACGGAGTCTTGCTCTGTCGCCCAGGCTGGAGTGCAGTGGTGTGATCTCGGCTCACTGCAAGCTCTGCCTCTTGGGTTCACGCCATTCTCCTGCCTCAGCCTCCCGAGTAGCTGGGATTACAGGTGCCCACCACTATGCCCGGCTAATTTTTTTGTATTTTTAGTAGAGATGGGGTTTCACTGTCTTAGCCAGGATGGTCTCAATCTCCTGACCTCGTGATCCGCCCACCTCGGCCTCCCAAAGTTTTGGGATTACAGGTGAGCCATCATGCTTGGCGAGGTGTGTTTTTGTCTGAGAAGGATTGAACGTGGCCAAGCCATCTAAGTCTGATGCTGACTCTAGTCCCTTATGGAGCTTGGATGGTTTAGGTAGGGGTAGGTAGGATTGGTGGATTGGGAGTAGGGTTATTTCATTCAGTTTGTTTAGGATTTACTTCTCATGATGGGTTGGGCTCTGCAGTTCTCTTTGGAGGGCACTCTAACATCTCTCCCATAATCAGACTTCACAGATTGACCCATCTCAGAGTTCAGAGAATAAAAATGAAGAAAAGGTCTCTACCCAGAGAACTGTGCCAAAGAAATAGGGAGTGATAGGGAGCTTAGGGCCTCATTCCAGGACCATCCTGGGTTAGTTTAGCCAAGAGAGGGCATGTAGGAAGGCTACCTAAGGAGACTACAACTTTGAAAGAGAAGCCTGTGAGTCACCTTCCCAGCCAGGCTGCCTGCATGGGTTTGGTCTGTGGCCACAGCTCACCTCCTGATAGCGTGCAATGCCTCCATTGACAGCCGCATCAATGACAATATTCAGGCACGCTTAGCAGGTTGATGTTGCCATGCACCTGCTTGTGTTGATACTGGCTGATCAGGGAGCGTAGCTCCTGGTTCTTATTCTCAACCACTTGGATGGCATTCTCCAGAGGGCTCACTCACCTAGGGTACACAGCACAGAGTCATCCCAGAAATGATGATAACCCCTCATCATATTCTGAGACCGGCCCAAGATCTGTGGTATTGATTCCCTTCCTTGTTCCTGTGAACTTGAGACTCCCTGGACCCTTTCCACTTCTGTTTTCTGATTTATAGGCACTTGGAAGTACAGCAACAGTAGTTAACACTAGTTCTGGAAATCAGAACACTTTGCTTCTTTGAATCTCTGAGAAATAGTTTTCATATGTGTGCTGGGAGGTTGAAAACACTGCTGCTCAGGGGTGTTGTAAGGGACGACGAGAGAGAAGATACACAAAGATCCTAGCACCGGGTTGACCTGTGGGAGCCTAGGCCAGGCAGGTGGTCAAGCCTTTATCTTCAGTCCTTAGAGAAGGGCCTCAGAGCTGGGGCCGAGGAGCAGTTGTGCTTCCAGCTCATCCATAGAGCATGTCTCACCAGTCTCTCTCTCCACTTCAAACCACCGAGAGATGCCAGGCAAGCCAGTCAGGCTGTGTGTGGTACGTCTCAATCCATAGGCTCTGTAGGAGGAACAGGCAGGTGTGGGCAGTTAGGCAAGTTTTGCCACACCCTGCCTACCTGAGTGGATGAAACAGTGAGTTCCCAAGAGCTGAGCTGTCTGACTTGCCGTGGGGGTGTACTGCCTCTGCTTTCAGGATTTGTCTACCTTGAATTCATTCTCCTTATCCTTGGGGCCTTGTGAAAGGCCTGTCGACCGGAATTTCCCCACATTGTTGACATTTATAGGGTTTTGACGCGATCTGGTACTCCTATCCATCTGCAGACACCCACATAATCTGGAATGGGTGTCACTGCATAGATCTGCAAGTCTGGGCAGGAAGTGAAGGAGAAATGCAGACTTGCCAGAGATGGACCTGAGAGGTTGACTTCTGTTATCTCCTCAAGGAGAGAAGTGCACCACGCCCCCTGCTCCTTACTGGGACAGCCCAGTGGTGGAGGCAGGGCACCTAGGCAGATTAATCACACAGTTAGGTAATCTTATCTGCTCCCTCCCTGCTCTAGTAGTTGAGTTTCATGAGCACCAAACCAAGGGAGATGTCAACAGCCAAGGTTCTCCTGTGCCCCTTACAGAAACAAAGGGAAAGAGGGGAATGCAGGCATCCACCCCATGGGAGTGAGAGAAGGCTACAAGGGTCTGGGCTTCCCCTCTATAGGTAAAGTATATTTACTGAAGAACAACTTTTAAATAAAATACTGTTTGAAATCTTTGTGGAAAAAAAGCAGGTAAGAGTCCACTTGCCTCCTCTCTGAAATGCTTCGCCAGTCATGGCATCTGGCACAGTGTGGTCCCCGGCGAAGCTGTGTGTGAAAGTGTGAGGGGAGGGCAGTGTTTCCATTCAGACTTCCATGCCACTAAACCAAAGAACTCTATCCTCTCCCGCCTCCGCACATCCTGGCCTCACCAGTCCGCCTGACGAAGACAAGGACAATAATAGTACACATGGGAGGAAGGAGTCACAGCACAGGTGGTATTCCTGTGATAAGAGCCCTGATAGGACCTCAAGTCACTCCTGTACAGTGATTTGGCTCCTGGTTGCCTGGGCAGACTCCTCATAGGCAGGGTGAGGATTGCTGTTGGAAGCAGCCAGTCCGAGGATAAAGACCTTCTGAAGTCCCACTGATGACTAGACCACCCACTGCTACAGTGGCACGCCAAATGCTTCCTTTGAGGCATTAGTGCTGCCAAGCGTGGGAAGCAAGCAACAGGACATACTCAGGTTTAGGGCTATGGGATATTCCAACTCTTATATGGTTGGCAGGTGGAGAGGGCAGCTGACTGGGTGGATCTGCACCTCCCAGGGCTCTGCCGCCCTCCCACTCCAGTATCAAAAGATACACTGCATCGACTGTAGGATGGCAACACCAGGATGGCTGGGGTGCTGCATGCCACAGCCCGCGGAACTCACTGAGCATCCTCTGCTGGAAGGCCCAGCCTCGTAGTCATGGCCACGGCATACGTATTCTTTGTTCTGCTACAAACATAAAGAGGACATCATATACCTTATTTGTAGCCTCAACCTCCATACTAGAGTCAGTAGCTACATACATCATAAAAGATATCTTAGGAGCTTTCTGTATCAGGCCCTGGGACAGACGAGGGCATTGCCTCAGTCTCCAAACTCAAGAGGGAGAAGAAAACAAAGCGAGAATTACACTGTGGTGTGGGCAGCCCTGAGGGAAGGGTACAGGCTGCAAGAAGTTTGGAAGAAGGAGAAAACCTTACACATGGCAGAGCAAGGTGAGATGGATTTAAAAAAATTAAGTGTTTAAAAATGTCCTGAAAGGTCCACTCTAGGCTGTAACAGTATGGTATGGTATGAGTGGAGAAGGGCAATCATGGATACTCGGTGGACAACCAGGGCAACAATCAAGACAGGTGGAGCTGGGAAAGAAGGTGTCTGTGTAAAGAACTGGTAAAAGAGATGCGAGAGTGGGCAATTGCCAGCCCCTCTTGGCATGTCTTCAAAGGAGGAAAGAGAAAGAGAGCCATCACAGGGCCAGCCATATGCTTCTGGACAGGGTTAATCACTGAGCAGGCCTTGAAGACCCTGACCCTGACTCCAGTGTCACTTTAAGGAGTGATTTTGGTTATGGGTGCTTATCAAATAAATTTAAATGGGGGGGCGGTGATCATGATTCTGAAGGATCACTTTATTAGTTGGGACAACAGTCTAATGTTGCCCAGTGCCCAGGAGGCATTCAGTAGCTGTTCATTGCATTAATAACCCTTTGGCAGCAAACCTTTTTAAACATGTCAGCAGAACAAATAGACATCATTCTAAGTACAGATTTCTTAAAATTTTACGTTATGTCACATTTAGTTTGGGTTATGTCTCAGTTTTTCTTCGTGGGACAAGGCACCCTAACCTGCTTGCTTTGTTTCATATCATAGCTGGTCATGAGTGGGTGGCTGGAGCAAGTTCCCCTGAAACCCACTGGTGACACAGTCCGCCCAACCAACTGCCTAACCAGACCCATTTCAACAAAATGGTATCAGGCACTGCCAGCCCCTCTTGGCATGTCTTCAAAGGAAGAAAGAGAGAGAGAGCCATCACAGGGCCAGCCATATGCTTCCCGGGAGAGGGTTAATCACAGGGCAGACCTTGGAACATCCTGACCTTCTTGAAATAGGATTTCTGTCTCCCTTTACTTCCCTCTCTCACTATGGGAGAAACTTGGCTGGACGCTGCCATGTATCTGTATTGTCTAAGTTTTTTTGAGATAGAGTCTCACTTTGCCCAGGTTGGAGTGCATGTTGCAATCTGGGCTCACTGCAATCTCCACTCTCCCGGCTCAAGTCATTCTCCCACCTCAGCCTCTGAAGTAACTGGGATTACAGGCATCTTGTACCATGCCTGGCTAATTGTTGTATTTTTAGTAGAGATGGGGTTTCGCCATGTTCGCCAGGCTGGTCTTGAGCTCCTGACCTCAGGTGATCCACCTGCCTTAGCCTTCCAAAGTACTAGGACTATAGGCATGAGCCACTGCATCTGGCCTGGGCCATGTGTCTGGATGAACTTCAGAAATGGAAGGGCACACTAGAAGGGAAGTTAAGGTCAGGAGGAACAGGCTGGCCTCTCCAGTGGAACAGACCAGTAGTCAAAGGACAGAGGCATTTCTACATCTTTGGCTTGATAAACAAAACTGACAAAGAAAGTACTTGTGAAGAACTGGCCTTTTCATATCATTCATATGTACAACCCTCGACAATGTCTGTTCATGGTCAAAATGATGAGAAATAAAAAATTTCAAGAAGGGAGGGCTGGATGTTTTCCTGACTCTTTGCAGATTAGTAAATAATCACATTTGTGACAGGAAGCAGGCAGATGGTCCACAGAAACCAAGTGTTTGACAGAGCTAAAGTAATAGATGGCCTGTGCATTCAGGGGATGTAGGAGAGGTGCTCAGCTCTTCTGGGGCTGCCCAGCAGGAAGAATGTACAGTGTTGACCTTGAGGCTGACTGTTGGTTTCATGTTCGCCTGGGCAAGAGCCCCAGCATTCTACAAAAGACATAGATCTGGCCGCAACTCCTTGTACCTGGTTCTCACCATCTGCAGGCAAAGAGCCACCCACTGGGACTTATTATGTTTGCCACAGATGAACTGAGTAGCCAGCCAAGGGAAGGTAGCAATGGGTTACGAGGAAATTTGCATGCATGAATTATACATGCATCATACCCCCCTGAGACTGTAATCCTGTGTGAGATGGGAATGCACATGGTGATATTTCCTAACACTCCTCGTTATTCTTCCTCCATTACTAGGGTCTTGAAACCACATTTGAACATTTGATCATTTGTGAGCATGGTTTGATGGCTTAGATGCAGGTTTTATGCCAGGTCCTACCCGTCAGAAAGCTCCAAGCACCCTGAGACACTAATGTGCCCTGTGACATGCGCATGAAAGGGTGGGAAACAGGTTGGACCATGATGGAGCATTCCTGCTTGGCAGAATAGAAACAGGGGACACCAGGGCCTGATTCTGTAATATCCAAAATAATGATGTTTTACAGTGAAATCTCAATTTTGATGTACAAATTGTGGATCTACACACAAGAAGAAGAAATGATAAGAAAGCAAGATCATGTAAAGATAAAGCAGAAAAAGGCAAGTTACAAGACCAGAATCATTAGTTTGTCAAAGGACTTTCTGGAAACACTTTTGGTTTCTAATTCTTGTACAGCTGCTTCTACTTCTTTTGCTGACCTCCACCACTTCCATTGTTTTATGATCTATGCTGATGGGGCCAGTAAATATGCCACTTGAAATGCCTGGGCTGATGGTCACTAGAGATGAAGGAGGCCTAGTCCTCTTAAGAAAGTCTTCATTTCCGCCAGGTGCGTGGTCATGCTTATAATCCGTACACTTTGGGAGGCCGAGGCAGGCGGATCACTTGAGGGGTTGGGAGTTCAAGACTAGCCAGACCAACATGGAGAAACCCCATCTCATTAAAATACAAATTAGCTGCAGGCGATGCCTGTAATCCCAGCTACTTGGGAAGGCTGAAGCAGGAGAATCGCTTGAACCTGGGAGGTGGAGGTTGTGGTGAGCTGAGATCGTGCCATTGTACTCCAACCTGGGCAACAAGAGCGAAATCCCTGTCTCAAAAAAAAAAAAAAAAAAAAAAGAAATTCTCTCTACTCATTCCCATTCTGCTACTAGAAAACATACTCCTGTGAACAGTTACAGCCTTCCCGGGATCACAACTAGGTAAATTCAGGCAGAGCTTGCTGTTCTGTCATAGCTTACTGTGCCTACACAGGATCATTTTTCCTTCTAGCCTAGAATGATCACTGCCTAAGAAAAGTGCAAGTTGACCTGCCTTACTTCTGCAATGTGGTTAGCCTGGACTCTGCCGCTAGCAGACTAGCTTTTTAAGGAGCTATTGCTCGTTGATCTTTATATGATAATAAGCTGTTATTGCCATTGGCTAACCCAATTTCAAGAAGACAGGATCTCAAACGTATCAAAGGGAATTTCTCTCCAGCTACTTTCTGAGACTTGTGGACAGTGAACTTTAAAGATATTGGAACTGGGGGAAGATCAAAGATTAGGTCTCAACTGCTCCAGGCCCACACATCAGGGCAGCTTCATTTAGGATCATCTGAGAACACATCTCTATGGACTCAGCCTGTGTGTATGTTGACTACTCCTGGAGCCTGACAGCTGAATAAATAAGAAAATCACAACTGGTGTCAGTGAGATCTATGCTCAGTCATCCTTTCACTCTTTTTATATTCCGGTTCAGCCTGCCAGGAATGGTAGGAGAAAGGCTGCTGTCATCTCAATGGAGAACTGGCTGCCTAGAAGAGGCTTTCTACAGCCAAACGCAGTGCCTGGGCAGCTCCCAGATCCCAGGAACTATTGGCCAGCAGTGCAGCCAGGAGGAAAAACCATCATTTCAGATGATAAACTCCAAGAGGTCAGGCCTACTGTTAAGGTCAGGGGCTTTACTGGCACCCTGTATGGCTGAGAAGATCACAATGGAGGTTCCAGGCACTGGAGGTGAAGCATGTACCTATGGACATACTTAGACCCTGGTCACTCTCGGGGTTAGAAATCCTCTATTGATTTGCAAGAAAGCCACCTCACACATTCCTGGTAGCTACACCACAGACAGACTAAAACAGAGTCTGAAGTTGGCCGTCATGTCCAGTCAAATAAAACCAAATGCCTGTTGTTAACTGGTTCATCTCCAAAAAGTATTCAGCAGAAAAGGCAAAAAGGGGAAGAAAAGAATACAGGTTTTAAGTGAATTATGTGTAAAATTATGTAAGTTCTTGTGACCATCTGAATGGACTCAAATTAAGAAAGAAAGAAACTTCTGTTATAGAAGCCGACCTTAAAGAACTCAGGCTCCAGGCGTTGCTGCTCCATAATGTTGTCATAGTAGCTGGCCTCCATTTTCTGTGAATGAGAAAGGTCTTCAGGTTGGCTTGACTGCTGTTGGTATCCAAAGCAAGTTCTCCTAGGCCCAACTGACACTGGTTCGGAAAGGATCAACCAATCTAGATAAGAAGTAAGTGAGCCTCTAGACATGACTCAGCCTCTAGGAGTTGCATTATGGAAGAGAAGGCCCTCCATCACCACTGTCTGATGGTGATGTGATAGTTCTGCCCACTGCAGCCTGTGTAGCTGCTGTGAATGTCTTCCTTAGGGAGTGGACTCAGCTCTATAGATTCCTGTACTTGGGAGGCACACTTTAACATGGACTTTTCTGCCCAGGATTTCTGGGTTTGTGACTTACTCACTATACCAGTTGACCCCTGACTAGGCTGTTGTAGCTGGCTATCAGCAATTCTCACTACCACTTGTATCAGTCCCAACTCTTGTTCATCTATCATCTGACTAAAGATGCTAACAACTGTAGTGAGGAAGGTCGGGATGCTAACAGCACTGGTACTCATTCCAAGTTAAGATATTTTAAATTTGAAAAGCTAACTAATATCCATGATGTCTAGCATTCCGGGTTGTCTGTAACTTTAGTTGTGGCTGACCTGGCTTCACACTCAGACAAACTCACTGAAACTTCGATTGGGAAGATAGCTCCAATGCATTCAATCGTTTCTCTGTACCAGAACGGGTTAAGAAGCCATCACAGAGGAAATTACGCCTAAACACCAATCTGATCAGAGAACAGGAGATAGCCACAAGGATGAGGGTGCAGAAAGGGGTGAGTTGAGGATTGTTATTTTCTTTTTCGCTGATGAAATCAGCAGCCATTATGATTGAGAGAACCCAGCACTCAGCAAACTAGAAAAAATTTGTGCAGATCTTCAAAGCCCATCTGGCATTTGATTTAATTTTTTAATATTCTGCACTGCAGGCAGCAAGTACAACATGTTTAAAATTGACTCATAAGCAAAGTGGGGAAAGTTTATAGCATTTCCGGATGACCCATAGTTAAAGTGATTGAAAGCTCTGTGGTTGAGCTGCGGCACCTTCTTGAACCCTCATCGAACTTAGCCTGTGCTGCCGACTTCTCTTCTGCGCCATGGCTCTAATCTGTGATTGCAATTTATTTCAGTAAGCTTATTCTATTAGACTGCAAGGTCCTGAGGGCAGGAGTCTTGGCTTTTGTTTCTCTTGTATTGTCTACAGCACTGTACCAAGGGTTGGGCTAGCCCAGAGAATGCTCATTTAGAAACTCATGTTAGTCAGGGGCTGGGGTGGGGAGGAGGGCACAGCTCACCCGAATCCAGCTGAGGCTCTGGTAATCATAGAGGCTCTCAGACTGGACACGCCAGCTCCCTGCACAGTGGATCCTGGGAAACTCCCAGCTCTGTGTCAGAAATGAGAAACAGTGGCTTCAGCATCTCATCCTCAGAATGGCCGTCTACATTAAATACATCAGAAGACACACAACAAAAAAAGGTCTCCTGCCAGCTCCAACTCTCAAAAGGTCACAAAGAACATATGCCTCAAACCAATTTGGGGGTCATGACACAGCCGTGTGGCTTTAGCCTGCCATAGTTTTTTTAGGTCTCTGCTCAAATGTCTCCACCTCCAAGAGGCCTTCCTGACTACTTCTATTAAGAATAGGCACTTCCTGTCCATTTCTGTTCTGGTTACTATGAAGTTATCTTAATTTTAAAAAATTACTTACTTTTTTGTTGTATTAGTCTTCAAATCAGATGATAAAAACACAAAGAGGGGCAGGACTGTTTGTTTTATTCTCAGAGACTAGAAATAATGCCAGATGTACTCAGGTAATTGTAAAGATTTAGTCTTGATAAGTTAATGAAACACTGATTTTTAGATTAAGATTGTTTAAGCTCCAAACAAGTGTATGGAAATCATGTTAAGAAAATGCCTACTCAAGGACTTGGCAGTAGGTCGGACACCTCTCTTTATGGAACTATTGACCTTAAATTAGGTCAGATGATCCTTGCCCCAGTTAGATTCAGGCTTTCGTGGTATGGCTCCTGTTACAGTAATGTGCCCATGCAACAGCCTGAGGGAAGGCTGCAGGCTTGGCTAAGAGGTGATATTATCCATTTCCTCTTAAAAATATATACTCTTTTGGAAGTCAAATTGTCCTCTTTGCAGATGACATGATTGTATATTTAGAAAACCCCATCATCTCAGTCCAAAATCTTCTTAAGCTGATAAGCAACTTCAGCAGTCTCAGGATGAAGCAAAATCAATGTAAATCACAAGCATTCTTAGGCTGACCAATAACAGAAGGCAAACAGCCAAATCAAGGAGTGAACCTCATTCACAATTGTTTCAAAGAGAAGAAATACTTGTGGAATCCAGTTACAAGGGATGTGGCTGACCTCTTCAAGGAGAACTACAAATCACTGCTCAATGAAATAAAAGAGGAGATGCAACAAATGGAAGAACATCTCCATGCCTGCAGATAGAAGAATCAATATCGTGAAAATGGCCACATTGCCCAAGGACTGATAGACTAATGCCATCCTATCAAGCTACCAATAACTTTCTTCACAGAATTGGAAAAAACTGCTTTAAAGATCATATGGAACCAAAAAAGAGCCCACCTTGTCAAGAAAATCCTAAGCAAAAGGAATAAAGCAGGAGACTGTACCACCTGACTTCAAAACCATACCATGCTGGCCACAGTAACCAAAATAGCATGGTACAGGTACCAAAACAGATATGGACTAATGGAATAGAATGAGCTCAGAAATAATGCCACTATCTACAACCATCTGATCTTTTGGCTAAATCTCTGATAAAATAAGAAATGGGGAAAGGATTCTATTTAATAAATGGTGCTGGGAAAACTGGACAGCCATGTGGAAGCTTGAACAGGATCCTCTTTATACCTTATATAAATAATCAAGATGGATTAAAGACTTATGTTAGACCTGGTGCTAGCAAAATCCCTAGAAGAAAACTTTAGGCAGTACCACCTGTGATATAGGCATGGCAAGACCACGTACTGTAACACCAAAAGCAACGCAACAAAAGCCAAAATTGACAAATGGATCAACTAACTGTCCAAAGAGCCTGCACAGCAAAAGAAACTACCATCAGAGTGAATAGGCAATCTACAGAATGGGAGAAAATTTCTGCAATCTACCCATCTGACAAAGGCTGTATCCAATCTACAAAGAACTTAAACAAATTTAGAAAGAAAAACCAAAAACCTCATCAAAAAGTGGGAAAAGGATATGAACAGACACTTCTCAAAACAAGACATTTATAAGCTAAATAGACACATGAAAATGTTCATCATCACTGGTCATCAGAGGAAATGTAATCAAACCACAATGAGATATCATCTCATACCAGTTAGAATGGGTTATCACAGTGTCAGAAAATTGTTATGTTGAGAGGATGAATAGGAACACTTTTGCATCTTACACTGTTGGTGGGACTGTAAACTAGTTCAACCATTGTGGAAGACAGTGTGGCGATTCCTCAAGGATCTAGAACTAGAAATACCATTTGACCCAGCCATCCCATTCCTGAGTATATACCCAAAGGATTATAAATCATGCTGCTATAGAGACACACGCACACGTATGTTTATGGCGGCACTATTCACAATACCAAAGACTTGGAATCAACCCAAATGTCCATCAATGACAGACTGGATTAAGAAAATGTGGCACATATACACCATGGAATACTATGCAGCCATAAAAAGGATGAGTTCATGTCCTTTGTAGGGACATGAAGCTGGAAACCATCATTCTGAGCAAACTATCGCAAGGACAGAAAACCAAACACCGCATGTTCTCACTCATAGATGGGAATTGAACAATGAGAACACTTGGACACACAGTGGTGAACGTCACGCACTGGGGCCTGTTGTGGGGTGGGGGAAAGGGGGAGGGATAGCATTAGGAGAAACACCTAATGTAAATGATGAGTTAATGGGTGCAGCACACCAACATGGCACATGCATACATATGTAACACACCTGCACGTTGTGCACATGTACCCGAGAACTTAAAAGTATAATAATAATAATAATAACAACAACAAAATATATATATATACCACTTTTGGTTAGATTGAGGGTCATTAGTTTACTTGATATTTTACCCAGACTCCTCAACTTCTCAATACTAATAAAAATTTTTTATTATAGGAAATTTAAGCATATAGAAAAGTAGAGAGACTAGAAGAATAAACCCCTATCCATCATCCAGCTTCAACAATGACCAACTCACAGCCAATCTTGTATTATTCATACCCCATTCACTTATTTCTCCCCATAGCATTTGAAGCAAATCTCAGATATAATTTCACCAGTAAATATTTCAGCATAAATCATTAAACATAAGGACTATATTTGTAAGAATACTCTTTGAAATAGCATCAGGGAGAAGGAAAACATTGTTTCATTTGCAATTGTGTTTCTCAAAAGAGTATATTTTTCTATCCTTCAAAGAAATTAACACCACATGGATTGAAACTGCAGGACCGATTAAAAAGATTAAAACAAACCAAAGAGGTGTTTTTTGTTGTTGTTGTTGTGTGCGGTTTTTTTTTTTTTTTTTTTTTTTTAGAAACAAGGTCTTGCTCTGTCACCCAGGCTAGACTGCACTGGCATGCAACCTTTAATGCTTGGGCTCAAGAGATTCTCTTGCCTCAACCTCCTGAGTAGCTAGGACTACAGGTGGGGTTAGGTGTGTGCCACCATGCCTGGCTAGTTTTTAAAATATTTTATAGAGATGGGGTCTCGCTATGTTACCTTGGCTGGTCTCAAACTCGTAGTCTCAAGCCATCCTACCACCTTGGCCTCTCAAAGTGTTGACATTACAGGCATGAGCTACCATGCCCAGCCAAACAGAATTTTAAATAGACCCTGACTCCTTGCTTTAATATAATGCCTGTGCCTCAGTGAGCTAGAAAGCCTCTTGTACCCCCATTATCACAACTTTCAAGAGGGCATATATCAGTCCTCTGCAAGTGCTGCTTGGGCAGGTTTCAGCAATGGACCCAGAACAGGGTCTATCTGGCTGGCAGCTTCATGGGGGCTAGCTAAATTTATAGCTGAGTTGTGTAGAGACTTCTGGCCAGCCTTTCAAGACCCACTCCATGGGAGACTGCTCATTTAGATGACAATGGCTATATGTGGGGCTAAAGATGCCCTGTCTGCTAACAGTAGCTTCCAATAAAAACAGGTCTTCTCCTCCACTGGGATCAATGCTCATCTATCTTGCTGGCATCTCTGCCCTAGCTTGTAACCCTGATGCTCCAAGGCATCCCTCCCCACCATAATTATCTTTAGAATGAACAAGGACCAAGAATTTTAAGACACCCTGCAAACCTTGAGGGGTATGCTAGAACACTGGTGGGCTTGGGGGCTTTGAGAGCTGCCTCTGCACAGAGTTAGTAACTATACTACAGGTGCAATGCATTCTCATCCACATCTTTCGCCTTGGTTTCCCTCCTTCAGGCAGGAGGCAAAGCTGACTCTAAAACTCCCTACTAGTGTCTAAAATCCAGTCACTTCTACCAGCTCCTGCAGATTTGTGTTTTTGTTTTGTTTTGTTTTGTTTTGAGACAGAGTCTTGCTCTGTCACTCAGGCTGGAGTGCAGTGGTGCAATCTCAGCTCACTGCAACCTCCACCTCCCATGTTTAAGTGATTCTCGTGACTCAGCCACTCGAATAGCTGGGACTACAGGCGTGCGCCACCACACCCGGCTAATTTTTGTATTTGTAGTAGAGACGAGCTTTCACCATGTTGGCCAGGCTGGTCTTGAACTCCTGACTTCAAGTGATTCGCCCACCTTGGCCTCCCAAAGTGTTGGGATTACAATTGTGAGCCACCTTGCCTGGCCTAATATGTGCTTTTATATATCCTTGTTGCTCCCTTGCAGGGACAGCACAAAAAGTTGTACTGACTTAGGGCTCATTCTAATCAAATGGCAAAGGAAGGGAAAAGCATGGGCCACCAGTCTGTTTGCACATTACATATTAGAAGTAACAGTCATTCCTTCAAAAGAGTGTGGACCATGGTAAACCCTCAAGCAGGAGAGCTCAAGCCCACTCCCACAGAAGTGGTTGGTGTAGCCCTGATGCTCTGCTAGCCTCTGTCCAGCTTCTCCTCCTGCCTGCTTCCTCCACCTAGAGATAAGGACCAGTTCTGACCTTCACATCACCCCTTTCTTCTCTCAACTCTCACCCTGCCACACCCTGTCTCTTTGGAGTTTCCTTCTCTCCTTGTCTGGCCTGGGAGAGCTGACTCTCTGTGGACCAGAGCCCAGTCCAACTTGTAGCAGGTTTATAAGTCAACTACCTCACTACAGGACAGAATGGCCCAGAACTAGACTATGGCCATGTTATTAGCCACGGCTAATCCTCTTGGGTACCCAGGACATAAACATGGGACCAAGGGAGATTGTGTTGTCTAAGGCAGACACCAGAGAGCATGTGCCAGCTTTGAGGGGTGTACTGGAACAATGGTGGGTCTGGGGGTTTTAAGAGCTGCCTCTGCATAGAGGTAGCGAATGTACTATAGGTGCAATGCATCCCCATCTACATCTTTTCCCTTGGTTTCCCTCCTTCAGGCAGAAAGCAAAGCTACTCTAAAATGTCTTACCAGTCTCTGAAATCCAGTCACTTCTCTTCTACAACTCTTTGTCCTCGTTCATTCTAAAGATAACTGGAGTAGAGGCCTTGGAGCGAGTGCCTTGGAGCAGCAGGGTTACAAACTAGGGAAGAGATGCCAGCAAGACAGATGAGCCTTGATCCCAGTGGAGGACATTTGTTTCACTGGAAGCTACTGTCAGCAGGCAGGGCATCTTTAGCCCTACATGGGGCCATCATCACCTAAATGAGCAGTCCCTATGGGGCAGGTCTTGGGGGTAATGTGTGGAAGAAAAGCCAGGAGGGGCTTGCCTTGTGAGGCAGGGTGTGCTGGCAGTGTTGAGAGGTAGAAACTCACTACCTGTTCCTCCTTTCTTTCTTTGCCCTTCTCTTGTTGCCAAGGTGGCTTTTCTCTTGGTGCCAAGCATCCCTGCCATAAGAACATCTTTTTCCCATAGCATCTAGGTTTTGCTTTTCTAGAACCATGGTTTTCTTCTTGAAAACCCTTAATATTTTCAAGAACTAGTTAATCTCACCTGATGGTTTCATCAGGAGCTGAGGCACAGGAACAGACAAGGTAGGCCTCCTGTGTGAGCCTAAGACAGTGGGCCTGATGACTGCTCCTTTGAGGATATACTCATGAGAGGGCTCACTGAGTGGTCTCTACTCAGCATAGACTCTGCTCCTCCAGCAATTCAGGGCAAAGGCAGGATTGCAGAAGTGAGGAGATTCCTGAGAAGGTAGCCTATGGAGTCTCCTAGTCCTTCTCTCCTTCTTGTCCATCTATAGTACTCAGGCACACTTTGTGTTTTACTCCCTAGTCCATGTTAAAGTTTAATCCTGCTTTTCTATGCATTACCATAATGTGGAATGAAGAGGGGACCATCAGTGCTCATGCATCCCACAGGCAGACTCAGTCAGATTAGAATAACTCTCTACTCTGTACTCTGTGCCCATGGAAAGAAATGAGAATGAACACACACCAGAAGCACACATGCATACTCACACCATGCTTATGTCATTCCCTGTGAGCTAGGAGGGCTTGCTGGGCATGTAGGTGAGGGGCAGCTCCAGGTTAGCCAGGAGCCAGAAAACCAGCCTAAAACTGCAAGTGAGGGGCTCTGTGTCAGGTCCTGGATCAGCAAGGACCAGAGGTTTTGGGTCAGCTTTGTGGATCAGTCGCACGGGCTGGCTGAGAGCTGAGCATGGGCATCCTTTCTGGGCTAGGTTACATAAGAGTTTCTGTGCTTTTGGAAAGGTTCCTGCTTACCAGTGCATTCTCTGCATGGGGAAATGTTTTCTGACTGAATATTTTTGACAAACACAGAAGTCCCCCATGTTATGTAAAACTGAAGAATGTTTTCTGATTTATAGGCAAAAGCCATTAATGTTTAAATCTTTCTTTTTGATGAAAAAACTCATCTCAAAAACCAATTTCCATTTGAGTCAGGGGCTCAGTTACTATAGTTCCCTGAATGACCCTATTTCAGCTTGAAAATATGCTCAAAGCTTAGTAATGAGAAAATGGCTTCAACAAGTTTTTCCAGCACATGGGCCACATCCAACAGTAGGTAGTCAGAGGGCCCCACGTAGAGCTCTCCCAGAGATGGGAGCAGAATGGCTGGAGCCCCAAGGAAGCCTAAACCAGTGCTGACAATGCTGCCAATCCCATAGAAACTAGTTTGATGGAAAGTAACCCCAATACGAGAGGAGCCCTGGCTGTGCTGTAGGGAAGGGAAATCTAAGAAAAGAACACACACCAGTAAGAAGCAGTTTAGGTCTCCTTTGGTTGTGATTAAAATCCATTCATTTCTACCACTCATATTTTATATGGCAGCAGATTAGAAAGCCATATCAGTTCTTTAAGTAAATCCAATAAAAACAAACAGGGTTCCAGAAGCCCCTGCTGTAGAAGCATTCGTATTTATAGATAGGCAAAGCTGGTATGTGGGGTAGTCTCTAACACCTACAATCTGGATATGGCTTTCAAGTCACAGAATTAAGCTGTTGTCTTTTTCTCCCTCAGAGAAAATCATGTGGTCTCCATATCTCAGGCACATAGATAGGCACCCACCCACTCACCACCCCGCACACCACCCCCTGTAGCTGCTGTTAACCCTATGGTGTCAAGATGCCATGCATCACAGCAGAAGCTGAAAGGCTAAAGGGCTTGCCTAATGACGCGTACCTTGCCTTTGTTGAAGTAGTGAATGATCTTCCGGCACAGTCCCTCCTTCCGCTGCCACTCTGTCTGCGATGGGTAGTGGAGGAATTCCCGCAGTGGCCGGTCCTCCCACTGCAGCAGCTCACAGTAAAGGAGCAGGGTAAATGCGGCCTCTGTGGGGACAGACAGCACGGAGGTCCAGGGGCTTCCCTTGCTCAGGGGCCCAGGAGCAGCCTAGTGTCAGAGGACTATGCTGGGCAGAATGCCAGCGCAAGTCATGTGCAGCCCAGGTCAGGGACACTGGATACCAAAGACGGAACAGTGGGCCTGCTCAGCAAGCCAATAACCCTGGCCATAGCATGAAGGAGCCAAATATCCTGGTAGACACCTTCCTTCCATGGCCTGGTCACCTGTTCCGGCCTCCAGATTAATAAAGAATGACTCAGCTACCCAAAAGTCTGTGTACAGGTGGCTTTGCTGTGGGAGACGTTGACACATCAGAGAGAGCTCTTGGGTTCCTTTCTGCTCAACTGACTACAGCTTCCTTTCCAACCTTCTCAGAACTGGCTCTTAGGGCTCCATTACCAAAGGAAGCTAAATTGATACTAGACCCAGAGTGAAGGCCTGGCAACATCTTACTCTATGTGTGGAACAATTAGAGAGGGTTATGTAAAACAACAGCAGTGAAATACCACGGCTCCCTACATTCCGAGGGATGAGTCACACTGAATCACAGCCACGGCTCAGGGGCCTCATTACACAGTTTTCTCTCTTCTGTTCTATTTGTTCAATTTTAGTGGGCATCTCCTACTGGCAAGTTAATTAGTTCTAGCTTCTGTGCTTCTGCCTGGTTTTCAAGGTTCTACTCAAATCTACTCTCCATGACTATGAAAAATCTCATTTCTAACCATTTATTGACCCACTTCCAGCTTTAGCTAGGCCAACTTGCCTGTGTCCACTCTTTAGGCTCCTCCTCATCCTTGCCTCTTTGCCTGTGCCCTTGCCACTGGAACTTCCTGCCAAGGAATGTACACGCCTCCTCATGGGATCAGGAAGCCTTTTTTCTCTAGGGACAAGCCTTGTGGAACTCACGGCCTCCCTCTGGAGCTTAGGAAATCATGGAACGTCTTTTTCTTCCTTGCCTGTATTATTTTCAGATGTCATTCCCTGAGCCATCAGAGACAAGGCTTAGCACTCTTTCTCTGTTAAAGTCCCTGACGCAGCCTCTCAGTCATGGCCCAGTTCCCCAGAAGTTTAGCAAATGCTTCTGCTGATACACAACATTTATTAAAGTCTTTCTCTTCACTGCCCTCTCAGAGGGTTGCTGGATCATGGGTGCAAATGGATGCAGAGAATGGTAGACTCAGCCCAGTCATTTTATTAGTCAGCTGAATTTAAGATTCAAAGCCCAGTCATTTTAGATTTAATTATTGCCAAGCTGTGCTATCAGATAATATATCATCTAAGCCAAACACTCTCTAACAGCTAGAGATAAAGAAGGAGGATTCTCTGTTTCTACAAATCTATCTAATTGCAACAGTGTTTGCAGAGAAGGATAGCTTAAATTTCCTGGTCTATCACACAAATTCAAGTCCTATCACCTAAGAGCTAAGACATAATGGCTGGTCACCACAGTGGAGAAAATGGTTCTTTGGGGGGAACGATGGCATGTCAATCAGACAGGACACACACACATGCGCACAACCCCCTGATTCAGCGTGGTTCTCAGTAAACAGTTGTGACAGCCACTTTGAAATGCTTTAAAATTTGTTCTAGTTAGAAAAGGCCTTGATGTTGGATTAAATTGTAGATACAATGACAGGCCCTGTCTGGCCTGTCAAGAAGTCAGATGAACACTCTTCATACTCTGCACTGGCAGCGCAATGTGAGGCTGCTATGCAGTTGCAGGGTCTGAAGAATCTAGCCTGCAAGGAAGGCCTGCTAGTGAGTTCTGGAAGTTCCAGGGTTAGGGGGATATTCCTTTGTTATAACCTTAGCTCCAGCTTTGAAAGTCCTAAAAAAGGCTCTCTGTTCATAAGGAGTGACAGTTAGCTCAGGATGCTCTGAACCTGGTGCACCAGAATTTGGAGGTCACCCTTGAGACTTCAGAGGGGTGGACAGGAGGGAAGGAGAGTGAAACAGCCTCAAGTAGTGGAGGACATGGCACAAAGGCACAAGTGGAAGTTCTGCCTGCTTTCTCTCTACCATGTGCCACAAAGGAGTTGAGGGAAATGAGTGAGGTGAGGGGATAGCACAAGCTCCAACATTCTGCTGAGATCTGGCAGGCACCAGCCTGAAGCCTTTCTCTGCCTATTGTACAAATCCCTTCAGTTTGTCTTCATGGTCAGGCATGGCTCTCTCTTTTCCCCACTTACCTGTGTAGTTTTCGGCCTGCAAGTGCATGTCACAAAGCTTATGGATGTAGCGGATATACATTTCTTCCTTGTTAATCTCAGATTTGTAAAAATTCTATAATAAAGAGAAGGAAACACCTGTCAACTACCTGTGGAGGCCATAGCCAAGCTCTGGGCAGCTGGCCAAAGCCGTGGGTGTGCTGGGCAGGAGAGAGAGGGGGGAGGCTCTTGGAGGCAGACAGCACCAGAAGGAGAAAGCACCAGCCAGAAGGAACACCTGCTGTGGGTGGAACCACTGGCAGGTCTATGGGAGCCCTGGGTAGTGTGAAAGAGGAAAAGCATCAGGGCAGATGAGGAGTCAGGGTTAACTGTGAATTGGGGCATGTCAGAGTTAGTGGGTCCCTTCCAAGAGGCCAGGCTAGAGTTCGGTACAAAGAGAAGCTCGTTTCATTCCTTCCCCAAGTAGGAATGTGTCTGGGGAAGTGCAGGCCTCTAAGATACCAGTAACTGGGCTGATGTCCTGATTCAAACCCTTAGGCCTATAGCCATGTAATGTAGAAGGGCCAAGCCAATCACAGCACAGGAGAGAAACCATTTCAGTAGGCAGAGAGGTCAGGGCCCATGTCCTCTCACCATCAGGTTAACAGTACAGCCAATCTTCTTATTCTCTGTTTCCTCTCCTTTCATGCAGTCCCTGGAAGAGACAGCACAGATGAGCACCAGATACGAAGTGGGGCCTTGAGACAACACATAGAACTGTACTATTACTAGGGCATTAGTATGACCAAATCCCAGATTGAGATGGCCTCCAACAGGAACTGTTTCCATAGATGAGGAGTCTACTGTGAGCTCCTTCAGCTTTGGACCCACTCTTGGGGCTCAAATATCTCTTCAACTGAGCCCCTTATTCTGGTGGCAGAGCAGAGAGAGAGCCCAGAGCTACATCAGGGTATTAAGTGGCACCTACAAAGGTCCTTGGCATAAAAGGGCATATTAATTAAGTGAAAGGCCAAATCCTCAACTTCCCATAAAGGGAGGCACAGAATTCTCCTTAAAGGACAGGTTTCATTTTGTAGGAGTGCTGAATAGAAGCCAAGATCCTCCACTTCATGGCCCTAGCTTCAGGGCTCTGTACATGTTCACCACATAGTTGACATTTCTCCCTACGGTTTCCTTCCTGTGTACTAGTCTTTGGAGCCATCTATCACCAGAAGCAGCAGGTCTCGTGCTTAAAGCATCAGCCAGGACTGAGCTGCATTCATACCTAGCAGGGTCTGGGTATAGGAGGTATCAGGGATGGCCTGTGAGAGACAGGAAAATAGGAACACTGAGAATGGATCCTTTCCAAGATAGCGAGAGGGTTGGTCAAAGCCAAGCTCCTCTGGAAAGGAGCAGAAGCCTGGCACAAGGAGATGAAGGAGAATGAGAACCAGACTGTTGAATCCAGCAAGAAGTCTCCTATGCACACGGCCAGCCAGAGAGCCATCTGCCTGATATGTCTCCTTCCATAGCAGCCCACACTGCTCTAGAGAAGATCTAGTTTCTTGTGCAGCTGTGTATTAGCAGCTCTGGGGAAAAGCTGCAGAAAGGGGTTTATACAGATTTCTAGGGTCAGGTTGGAGAGTGTCTTTGGCTTTGCTCCACTGACAGGCACAGGGCCCAGTGAAGAGCAGTACAGCTGGGAATCAGGGGCCCTAGGCCAAGTCACTGAGCCTCTGGATGGCCATTTGACAAACCCAGTTCTCCCCACTTTCCCATCATGCAGAGGAAGAACCCCAGGATGACTCCTTTGAAAGAAAAGGATGTTGAAAATCCATACTCCTCTCATGATATTTTGCAAAGCCAAATGTCCTTCCTGCGGAAGTCTCCAGTCAGAGATGACAGGTTTGTGATGTTTGGAACCAAGGCCCTCCTTTCTTGGGGGGGGGGTTGACCTATCACCACATAAGACTTTTGGTTCCTATGTAGCCAGACATGAGGGTCCTGAACATCCTTCTGCAGAACCTGTCCCTTTAGTGCTAGCAGGGCCAGGAAACTGCTTGACTTTTCAAGAGGAGTGAGCCTGAGGTCAGATGGCCAAGTTGTTCCAAGCAACCCACACAATGGTAGAAGGCATCTGTCTCCCCAGTAAGTTGGCCCCATGAAGGGCAGTGAGATCTTACCTAGCCACTTCAGCATTTAGTGTAGCTATAGGCAGGCATGTAGCTGTGCTACAGAATGGGGGGATGCTTAAGACAAGAGCACATTTCCCAGGAATTCCATTTCCATTTAGTGAGTTGTATTTTCTATAAAGCATCTGAAACACTTACCAAGCATTAACTTCTGTTTGGCCATAACCAGAACTTCATAGCTAAGTCCCTTAAATAGAAAGGAACTGGCCTCAACACTGTGATACCAGGGGCATCCTATACACTTCTGTGCTCTATGACTGCTTCTCCTCTGCACTGCTGACAGCAAACTCTTTTTTGTGTAGCTTTGCATCACTTCTGTGTGGCTACTTCACGGTGGATGCCTTTTAAAGTCTGACTTAGGTGCAGCTGTTGCTTTCCCTCTTGCTCTTTCTCTGAAGGGTGAGCAGGGAAGACTCCTGAAAGAGGCTTCTGAAGCATCTGGCTCACCTGGGTAGTGGCCTGGCTGGGGACTACATCAGTGACCAGGCAGCCCTCATTGCAACCCGAGGGGTCTGGGAAAGGCAGGCTTCATAACCTTCAGTTGCCCGTTCCAGGTACAGGTTCCCCTTTGAGCCACAAGAGCTTGGCAACTCTAGCTCTGTCCCTGTCTGTTCCAGGCACAAAGAAAACTCTTCTAGGGCCCTGCTTCCTATCCTGGGAAATATAGTTACTACCAGTGAGAATCTTCATGTTTGACACAGAGTGTCTGAAATTCACACAAAAGTTAAAGACATTGATATAAAAGCTGACGAGGTATTCCTTTGAGTATCTAAAGTTTTGCCAGTCTAACATTGAATCTTACATAACAGGTTCAGGTAATTCTAGAGTACAATCTGTTGATTATGTTTAATCAATGTATATATTTTAAAACTCTGAACAATTATTTTTTTCCTTTTTGTTTGATGTCCTTTCCTTGAGTCGTATCAACAACTATTTTCTTTTACTTTTTTTTTTTTGAGACAGGGTCTCATTTTGTCACCCAGGCTGGAGTTCAGTGGCGCAATCTTGGCTCACTGCATCCTCGACCTCCCCAGATAAAGTGATTTGCCCATCTCAGTCTCCAAAATAGCTGGGACCACAGGTGCATGCCACCACACCTGGCTACTTTTCCAGTTTTTCATAGAGATGGGGTTTCGCCATATTGCCCAGGTTGGTCTCGAACTCCTGAGCTCAAGTAATTTGCCTGCCTTGGTCTCCCACAGTGCTGGGATTACAGGCATGTGCCATTGTGCCTGGCCAACAACTCTTTTCTTAGTAAGTTCTTGAACTAACTGCATTGAGGTAGAGGAAAAGATTTGCTTGGTTTCTGCATGGTCTTTCCAACAAGTTTATCACTCATTATTTACTCTGTACCTGCCAGGAGCCAGCCCCCATACAGGGGAACAGGGAGATAAGGACAAAGTTCCTATCCTCAAGGAGCTGGTCCTCCTTTGTAAGGTAAGACAGAAAGATGATAAATGATCATCATTCAATGTGTGCACAGAAAGGTAAGCTCCTGGCTTGGGAAAGCTTCCTTAATAGGGGTGAGTCGGAAGACCACTCTTGGGAGAGAACACAGCATATAGAGAAACCTGAAGGGAAAATACAAGTGGTTAAGTGGTGACAACATGGAGAAAGAGACAGGGCATGGTTCTTGAGTCAGCTAGATCTGGATTCAGATCCTAGCAGTGGTACCTCTTAATTTCTCCTCATGGATAAAAAGAATGAGGATGCTTATAGGATTAGAGAAAATGTATGTAGAGCACTCAAGTGGTGGATTTTCAATAGACAGGGGTCATCATCAACATTATGCTGTTTCCTTTCACGTTAGCAAGGAGCAACACTGGGAGGCTGGGGTGTAGGGCATGAGTACTGGGGACTAGCAGAAGATTGGTCTGGAGAAGTGAGCAAAGGCCAGTGATGCCATATTAAGGATTTTGGACTTTTTGTAGATACCACCACCGAGACAAGAAATAGAGAATGAAGTTGGTTTTGGGCATGAGTTTGAGCAGCTTGTAGAAGGTAGCTAAAGAAATCAAACAGGCAGCTAGAACAAGGCCTTGGAGCCTAAGAAATTATTTTCTGCTCCTTCGTTAGGCCACGGTGAATAAAACCAAACTTTAGAAAATGTTTTGGTAAGGGGGAGGTGCAGCGCTTTGTTCTCCTCTCTTCCCTTTCTAATTGTAGCTGCAGAAGAAGCTACAGACCTGGTGTGAACAAAGAAGTCTCTTGCTGTAAAAGGGGCCCCAAGGCCAGCTTTGAACTTGAAAGGCCCAGGAAAAACGGCCTGAAGTTCACACAAGCATAGCTGTGCTACAGAATGGGGGGATGCTTAAGACGAGAGCACATTTCTCAGGAATTCCATTTCCATATCCAGGCCAGTGCATTGGACACCTGAGTCTTTTGCACAGCAGCACCTTCTACTTCAGCATCAACTGGAGCCAGGCTTAACTCTCCTATTTCCTGATCCATGAGCTCAAAATGCTCTCCTCATGTGGCATTTGCACAGCTTATAGCACAGAGAAGGCAACTATTGCTTGGAGCTGGGTTTCATTTATCATTTCTCTTCACCTTCCTCCAGGCTCCCAAAAGGTACTTTTAGCCATCACCTGAACCCTGCTGAGAGAATGATTAAGGCTGCAATTGTGGTTTCATTGTCATGTTTGGACTAATTCAAAAGCCATGATACAACTGAGAAGGCAGACTTTCATTAAGAAATTCTAATGTTGGCTGGGCGCAGCAGCTCAGGCCTGTAATCTCAGCACTTTGGGAGGTCGAGGTGGGAGGATCACTTGAGCCCAGGAATTTGAGACCAGCCTGGGCAACACAGTGGGACCTTGTCGCTACAAAAACAAAAACAAAAACCAAAAAACAAAAAATTAGCCGGGCATGGTGGCATGGGCTTGTAGCCTCAGCTACTCTGGAGACTGAGGTGGGAGGACAGCTTGAGCCTAGGACTTTGAGGCTGCAGTGAGCCATGATTGCCCTTCAGTCTGGGTGACAAAGCAAGACTGTCTTCAAAAAAAAAAAATTCTTATTTCACATGAACTCCCAGACTGAACATAACATGAAGATCTCTGAGCTCACAGGCTGTTTCCTCTAATCTATTCTGGCCATGACCAGGGGACAGAAATAAATAGACTTTAGACAAATAATATAGGCATTGAAAAGTGGGGTCCCTAGTCCCTGGAAAAGCCAACTTCATGTCCTCTAGGTGATACTTCTCTGCTCATCTGCCATATGGTTTGGAGGAAAGTCTGCACTAAGGACCTATAGCTGTTCCCTGCCCTGCTCTGGAGATAGCTTTACTCTTCCCTCTTGCTGTGCCCACTCCTCTGAGCCTTAACCCTTCTGGATGGAAGGCCAGATGACTACATATCCCCAAGATCCCTCCTGGGTACATGTGCCCACATTTTAGCGGGGAATCCCAGGGAAAGTCTCTGTCTCTGTCTCTTCTTGGTCATCAGCAGATTCCTACTGACTGGTGATGGCACCCAATATCACAACAGTGCTCCCCATGAAGGGCACATGGTCTCAGTTTTCAGGTCAGGGGGATTCCCTTGCTAGAGAGAGTATCCTGACAAAAGAAGAGGTGAGCGGGTGGCTGAGAAGATACCTGTAGTCAAGAAGACGTTCCATGAGGCGGGTGACTGAGGTCACAAAGGAAATGCCGGTCTCACGCCATGTTTCTTGTTCAACCTTCTCCAACAGGCTATTGGTGGAGGGGTGGAGAAAGCAAACACAATTCATGAGCCTTCCCCTGGGTACAAGAGTGAAGTCCAAGAGCCCATGGAGGCTGTGATGGATCTGGAGACAGCAGACTTACCACACTGCAGTCTTACCTGGGGTAGGGCCCAAACAGCTGGGTTCTACTCCATGCAGCAGAAAGCAAAGACAAGGAGGTTACTGAACTGGCAGCAACAAATGAAAACACATCTTCTATTTCCATGTACAAGTTCCTAAGGATGCCACTGAGGAGGAGGGGAGGGAGGGGCTCGGCTCCAGCCACCTTAGGCATACACTGTAACTACCTTCTGTTCTGAAGGAGTAGTTGAACAAGAGCCCACTGAGGGATAAGCCTGGCTTTGCCAATGGCTGACTGTCTTTATCACTGCCCAGAGTCATCCTCAGCAAACATACAAACCAAGCTCTGTTTTTCAAAATTTTAATTTTTCTTTTTTAAGATGGGGTCTTGCTATGTTGCCCAGTCTGGTCTTGAACTCCTAGCCTCAAGTGATTCTCCTGCCTCGGCCTCCCAAAGTGTTTGGATTATGGGCATGAGCCACCGTACCCAGCCTAAACCCATCATCTTCATGGAAACTAAGGGAAAGATTCTCATTAGTCTTGGGGCCCCAATATAAGGGAAAGTGAGCAAGTCCACGTGCTATACTTGGCCATCCTACTGTTGCAGGGAATGCTCCCAAGCAAAATGTGCCACAGCCAGGAGCTAAATGCCCAGGTTCTTTTCTTACTTGACAACCTCATGCTCCTGGTACCTCAGGGCAGCCCCTGGCTTCTCCAAAAGCCTGGCTTCTGAGATCCTCTGCCATCCCACAGGTCTTTCCTAAGGGACAATGACTTGAACTCTTTCGGCTCGCTCCAGTGATGAGCCTAGGTCCATCCTTCACTCCATACAATTTTATTCCTGATTCCTTTCCACACTGTTCCTTGCTCTCTAAGGTCATGAGAGTCACCTGGGGTGGCACACCCAGCTAGGGGTCTAGCACTGGGTACTCAAACCCACAGCCTGACTGCTGTTAATGCTGCTGCTACAATGACGACTGTCTCCTTGCACAGAGCATACTGCCTAGACCAGGCTTCTGGGAAAGTGAGGGTTCTCCAGGTAACTCCTGTTGTTAGAGAAGGTTAAGAACACTGAATCTGACTTCTGTGGCTTTATCCATTGAGAAATGTACCAGCATTTTCCAACTGTATTCTGCAGAGGTCTCTGTCCTAGAGGACAGGGGGAAATGTTCTGTGAGCACACAAGCATGGGAAATTGGGAAATGCTAATCGCTATACCCTCCTGTTGGAGATTTTTCATATCCTTTTTTTTTTTTTTGAGATGGGGTCTTGCTGTGTTGCTCAGGATAATCTCGAACTCCCGGGCTCAAGCAATCCTGCCACCTTAGCCTCCCAAGTAGCTGGGATTACAGGTAAGTACCACTGCACCCAGCTCATATCCTTTTGCACAACAAAGTCTTTGAGAAGTCCTAATAAAGAGGCTTGTTCAATTTTGCTTAGTTGAATCTTTTCTAAACTAATTCACCCATGATTTACATTTTTTTTTAGCTTCCAAAAACACAAATTTGAAAATGCTGCTCCATGTTATGAGTGGTTCTCAGTTCTTAGATTGTTTTAAAAGAGCTTATAAACATGATTTGGTCAGGTAACTAGTAATTGCAGATTATTTTTGTACTTTTTCCTTTGTAGCAGTCATTTGTTAGCAGCCAAGGAACACTGCCTTGTTTCCACAATTAGACAAATCTTTGGCTAAAAAAGAAATACTAAAGGATGGATTCATTTTCACAAATTATAATTGTTTAAATTTAAAATAAATTTACATTTTACCTCATGACTCCTCAAGAAACAAAGTGGGCATGGTATAGCGGAAAGACTCCCCCATCTGGAAATTAGAAGATCTGGGCCCTCCTTCTAGAGCTGTCTGTTACTGATGGCACAACTGAGGGCATGCTGGCACTTCCCTGAGCCCAGTTCTTTATTTCTCAAGTGGGAGGGAAGATAATTTCTACTCTGCACACCTTCCAGGTATGTTGTGAGGATCAAATAAGGTAAGAAATGCCAACATTTTGCACACTGGAAAGTTCTAAGCAAATGGATAGTATTATTCCTGAAAAAATACGCCAGAGGTTTGTTTTCAAAATGGAACTAAAACAAAGAACATCTCAAAGTTGGACATAAGTACAACAGGGAGGGTATTCTAGAGCTGTAAATATCTTAAGATTTCATTTTTTAGGAAGATAAAATAGCAACATCACTATCTACTTGGGAGGGCCATAGTTTCCCCGGGTCTCTCTTCAGGTCTCTGCCTCCATCAACTTAAGCCAGAAACCATGGAATGGAGGACCCAGAAGAACCCTGACATCATTCAGTACAACCATCTCATTCCACAAACATGAAAACTGGCCTGGAAAGAGTGCTGCAGCTTGTTCAAGAGCTCACTGCAATGTTTTTCAAGCTGACTGTACTAACTTACCAAGCAGGGCAATCAGGAACCTGTCTCTCAAAGGAGGATTTATCCTCCACCTTGAAATGCCAGCATTGAGCCCAGAACTGAGTCTCCATGAACTGTCTGCTCCCCATCCAGATGCAGTGCATGTTATGAAGACAAAAAATGATCCTTTTCCTTTCAGCAAATCTAGGAGCTCAGAGGTTACCTGTTTTCTATCTTTTCAGTCAACTATGGGAATCCCTGAAAGAGCTTGGTTTCTTGGTGACAGAAGTTGAGCATTGCTACCATCAGGAACAATCCAGGTCTCTCTTGGACCAAACTCTAAAGCCTGCCAGTGCAGTTGCAAACTCTACTTTTCATTGGCCCACTTCATCCCATCCCCCATTGTGATGTGCCTGGGGCTGGAGCAGCTTACAGTAGGCTGAAGAGCTCCCTGTAGCTCTCGTCACCTTTCCCTTCTGATACCATGCTGTCCAGCTTGTCAATCAACTCGGCCTCCACCTAGAAGGAAGCAGAAACTTCATAAACCTGAGATGACCTCAGAAGAAGAATGGGAAATCCAGTTCCTGTGGTGGGTGAGGATGGCGGTAAACTACTTCCTGATTCTGTCCTTGTTCCAAAGAAATCCCAGGGAAGATAGTATCTTACCTATAGCACCAAGAAATCACTCTGCCTCCCCAAATCAAGAAGGCCTCCCACCCTAGTGGTTTGAAAAAGAGGTAGGACTTAAAAGTCTCAGGTACTCTTTCCCATCTAAGGGCAAAAGGCAAGGATTCCCTACCGAGAAAAGTATTTTGGATTCAAAAGAGGGCTTTTTCAGATTTTTCCCCCTTTAAAAACATTAATTCAAAATAATTTGTAGGCATAAAATACATTTGGTTAGAACTTTACCCTCTCGTCAGCCAGTCAAAAAAGATGCTTTCTGGGGAGCTTGTCCTCACTCTAATGGCTGGCATTAAATGGAGCTGAATGAGATTTGAGTGTTTCCTCCTGAGATTTTCCTTCAGGATAACAGGCTCCACTGTTTGTACCCACAGAACCTAGAGCTCTTGAGGCTGCTGTTCCTATCACTGGACCATCACTGGGCCCCTGCATTTGTTATTGGATACCTAAATCATAAGAAGCAAGACTATATTTGTTCCTACCCTGTGGATTTGCAAGGGCATTCAGCAGTACTCACTTTTCTTTTTTTTAATTTAATTTAATTTTAAGTTCAGGGGATACCTGTGCTTGACTGTTTGATTGTTGATTGATTGATATCTGTGCCAGGTTTATGTGGGTAAACATGTGCCACAGTGGTTTGCTGCACCTATCAACGCATCACCTAGGTATTAAGCCTCAGATGCATTGGCTATTTATCCTAATCTCAGCCACTTTTCTAACAGGTCTCACTGGATTTACTCTGAGGTGAGAAACTGGTTGTAAGTGATATGATATAAAATGGTTTTAACCTTTTATTAACCTTTATTTATTTATTTTGAGATGGAGTCTCACTATGTCACCCAGGCTGGAGTGCACAGGTGTGATCTCAGCTCACTGCAACCTCCACCTCCCAGCTTCAAGCGATTCTCCTGCCTCAGCCTCCTGAGTAGCTGGAATTACAAGCATGCGTCACCATGCTGGCTAATTTTTGTATTTTTAGTAGAGATGGGGTTTCACCATGTTGCCCAAGCTGGTATTGAATTCCTGACCTCAGATGATCCACCTGCCTCAGGCTCCCAAACTGCGGTCGAGCCACCGCACTCGACCCCTTTATTAACCTTTAAACTATAGTACTATGACATTATTTATTTAGTATTTCATATAAACAAAAAAGTCACAGCATGGCTACATGAAATAATGTGCTATAAACAGAAGCCTTTCTCACTCTACAGAGAACAAAGAATCCTAAGGCTAAGAAATAATAAAAGAGTAACTGAATTAGTAAATTCAATGAAGGCAATTAGGGCCTCTGAAGTCCGATGACCGGAAAATGAGGCCTTTTTTTTAAATAGTGGTCTGCTACATGGCCAGGGCAGGGATGAGTGAGTTGCTTGAATATACATTTGAGAAGAAGCAGAAAGTCTGAGACCCGGAGTCCTTAGGGATTGAAGCCCTCTCACTCTCTCTGTGTGGAGAAAAGGCATAAGCAGGGACTTGCCTGGGGTTATGTTACGTCAGATAGAGCTGCATCTAGAAGCCAAAGTGGATTAGTCCCAGTTCAGAGCTTTTCTTGCCTCACTGGGTCAACCTGCTGGCTAAAAGGCCCCCAGGAGAAGGGCCTGATTATAACAAGGGATCTCTCTTCACACATGGTGGTATAGGTAGATTGTGCCTTCAGAACACAGCAAAAAGGTGGGGAGGGGACCTGAAGCAGCAGAGCGTACAACAGTGTAAACAGGGTACAACAGTCCACTGGAATCTAAATGGTTCTCAAAATGGGTCTCTGGGCCAGCAGCAGCAGTTTCACCTGAGATCTTGCTAGAAATTAAAATTCTCAGGCCTCATCTAGTTTGTCAGATCAGAAACTCAGGGTGGGAGTGCACAAGCTGTGCTTTAATGAGTCTTCCACGTGCTTCTGAAACCTATTCAAGTGTTTTGAACTTTGTATTAGGCAAAGAAGCTGGTGATGGGGCTGGGCGTGGTGGCTCACGCCTATAACCCAGCACTTTGGAAGGCTGAGGTGGGCAGATCAACTGAGGTCAGGAGTTTGAGACCAGCCTTACCAGCATGGTGAAACTCCATCTCTACTAAAAATATAAAAAAATTAGCCAGGTGTGGTGGCACCTTGCCTATAGTCCCAGCTACTCGGGAGGCTGAGGCAGGAGAATCACTTGAACCCAGGAGGTGGAGGTTGCAGTGAGCCAATATCATGCCACTGTATTCCAGTCTGGGCAACAGAGTGAGATTCCATCTCAAAAAAAAAAAAAAAAAAAAAAAAAAAAAAAGCTAGTGATTGAAGGATATGGGAGACATGACTTAATCACCCCTACAGAGCTCATAAAGGAACAAGTTATTAGGAGAAATCTAGAAATCTAAAACATGGGACACTGAATATCAACACATGCAAAATCAACATCTCTAAGTCAAACAATAAGTTCTTCAAACATATTATGTCATAACTAGTGACACTGACCATCAAGTTTGCAGTTACTTTTATTCCATAGAAACAATATTCCTGAAGTGACATCTTCATTCAACAAATATTTGTCCTGTGACATAATGATATGCACAGTTCTAACATTTACCTCTCTAAGCCCAATTTTCTACGTTTGTGAAATAGGAATGGTGGTAACATTCCTCTTTGGTGTCACTGTGCCCTGGATCTTGGGAAGTACTTAATAAATGCTAGTTTTGATTTTCATCTCTATGAGCCTACCATGTCCCAGGCACCATGGTGGGTTCTGAGATATAAAAATGCACAAGAAATAATCCTGGTCCCTAAAAGCCCATCATCTGGCAGAGGCGGCCGGTAGGACAGCTGACACAGCTCAGCATGGTAATTGCTTAGATGGAACATACACAGAAAAGGTAGTCTGGATTTCAAAGAATTGTGCTATAAAAACTTAAGAAAGATTTTTGACTCTTTGATCTAGTGATTACAGGTTGAGAAATTTACCTAAGAAAATAAGAATAAATGATTTTGGCAATATTAACAACAAAAATTTGGAATGAACCTAAATTGCTAAAATTAGGGGCTGAGAGAGGTGGGTCATGACTGTAATCCCAGCGCTTTGGGAGACGGAGGTGGGTGGATCACATGAGGTCAGGAGTTTGAGACCAGCCTGACCAACACGGTGAAACCCCATCTCTGCTAAAAATACAAAAAAAATTAGCTGGGCATAATGGCACACACCTGTAATCCCAGCTACTTGGGAGGCTGAGGCAGGAGAATCGCTTGAACCTGGGAGGAGGAGGTTGCAGTGAGCCAAGATCATGCCACTGCACTCCAGCCTGTGCAACAAGAAGGAAACTCCATCTCAACAAAAAAAAAAAAAAAAAAAAAAAAAAAAATTAAAATAGCAGCTTAACAAAATATGTTATGATCCAGCCATACAATGGAATACCATATAGCCTCTAAACTGACGGGTTTAGTATAGGGGAGCATTAATTCACATGAAGAGGTAGTCATGACAAGTTGCTACCAAAAAAGGGAGATTACAAACCAATATATACAACACTTTCATTTTTTTGGCCATTTTTTTTTAATACTTTAGGTTCTGGGGTACATGGGCAGAACGGGCAGTTTTGTTACATAGGTATACACATGCCATGGTGGTTTGCTGCACCCATCAACCTGTCATCTACATTAGGTATTTTTTCTAATGCTATCCCTCCCCCAGCCCCCCAGCCCCTGACAGGCCCTGGTATGTGATGTTCCCCTCCCTGTGTCCATGTATTCTCATTGTTCAGCTCCCACTTATGAGTGAGAACATGCGGTGTTTGGTTTTCCGTTCTTTTATTAGTTTGCTGAGAATGATGGTTTCTGGCTTCATACATCTCCCTGCAAAGGACATGAACTCATCCTTTTTTATGGCTGCATAGTATTCCATGGTGTATATGTGCCAGATTTTCTTTATCCAGCCTATCATTGATGGGCATTTGGGTTGGTTCCAAGTCTTTGCTATTGTGAATAGTGCCACAATAAACATATGTGTGCATGTGTACAGTAGAATGACTTAGAATCCTTTGGGTATATAGCCAGTAATGTGATTACTGGGTCAAACGGTATTTCTGGTTCTAGATCCTTGAGGAATTGCCATACTATCTTCCACAATGGTTGAACTAATTTACACTCCCACCAACAGTGTAAAAGCGTTCCTATTTCTCCACATCCTCTCTAGCACCTTTCGTTTCCTGGCTTTTTAATGATCACCATTCTAACTGGTGTGAGATGGTATCTCATTGTGGTTTTGATTTGCATTTCTCTAATGACCAGTGATGATGAGCTTTTTTATATATGTTTGTTGGTCGCATAAATGTCTTCTTTTGAGAAGTGTCTGTTCATCTTCTTCACCCACTTTTTAATGGGGTTGTTTTTTTCTTGTAAACTTGTTTAAGTTCTTTGTAGATTTTGGATGTTAGCCCTTTGTCAGATGGCTAGATTGCAAAAATTTTCTCCCTTTCTGTAGGTTGGCTGTTCACTCTGATGATACTTTCTTTTGCTGTGCAGAAGCTCTTTAGTTTAATCAGATCCCATTTGTCAATTCTGGCTTTTGTTGCCATTTCTTTTGGTGTTTTAGTCATGAAGTCTTTGCCCATGCCTATGTCCTGAATGGTACTGCCTAGGTTTTCTTCTAGGGTTTTTAAGGTTTTAGGTCTTACATTTAAAGTCTTTAATTCATCTTGAGTTAATATTTGTATAAGGTGTAAGGAAAGGGTCCAGTTTCAGCTTTCTGCATATGGCTAGCCAGTTTTCCCAACACCATTTATTAAATAGGGAATCCTTTCCCCATTGCTTCTTTTTGTCAGGTTTGTCAAAGATCAGATGGTTGTAGATGCATGTTGTTATCTCTGAGGCC